CCTTCACCTTCTCTCCTGGTTCTAGGGGTTGAAACCTCTTCCTCCTGATACTTGGAATCCAGTTGCAATATCTTCACCTAATACTTTGGTTTGTTTTAAGTGTCACTGGGCAAGGCTCTCAAACAGGACGCGCTGAGGGAGGACTGCCGACTTGCTGATTGGATGTGGGGAACGAAGACAACATTCACAGCTCCAGAGGGTGCGCCGTGTTCCCGTAGATGAATATTTTTGGCCCTCTCTCAGTGTTCTGGGACAGTTTTTCATTTTCCTTTCTTCTTGCTGTTGCTTTATAAAACATTTAAATGGCGGGAGCCAACTGCTGCTTTTTAGTTTTGAAGCTAAACTGTTTCCTTTTTATTCTGTGACTTTTTTTAAACCACGCACAGCATGCTTTGTGCCCGAGCGCGCCTGCCAGCCAGCGCGCTTTTTCACAGCTGGGCTGGCGCTTATTGCCTCGCGGAGGCTGGAGCGCCAAGTGCCAATCGCCAGGGAATGCTCTGGTGGCTTCACCAACCTCCAGCGTCAGGAGCTCAGCAGCTCCAGTCTTTCCACAGCCAGTCTGGCTCAGTCACAGCGAAGGAACTCTTCTTTCGCTTCACAAATAGTCTACCTGCAGCGCCTGAGGGACAAGCAACTTCAGCTCTGGGTGTTGCTGAAGGAAGGAGCGAGTCCCTCCCACAGCACCCGGGGCCTGGGGAGTCTGCTCTCCATTTGGTCTCCTCATCAATTATCACCCCAATGAGAGGCCCCCACCCGGTTACGGATGCAGCTTGTCCACTCTCCCTGCCCCTCGCTCCTTCCTTTCCAGCCTGTCTTGAGCCAGTTCTTGGGGAGTCAGAAAAGCGCATTGTCTGTGGGAAAAGAGGTCAGTTTGAATGCGAGCAGCCATGACCTCCAGGCATGACCAGCCCTCGCCAGCCTTGAGTGTTTGAGGAGGTAGGTCCCTGAGAAGCAGGGGGTGTCCTGAGCTTTCACAGTTTGCATCTGCCACGGAGGTCAGAAATGCATGTACCTGATGCCAGAGGTGTTGCCATGGAAGTGTTTGAGTGTAGTTTTTAGTCACACATACCCAACTTGAGCGGGAAGCTAACCTATATTATCCAGAGCTAGTTCCTTTAGCTGCACTGGGGATGCAGGGGCCTGTGGCCTCCCTCTGAAGCCTGGGCCACAGGCCCCTGCAGCCCCAGTGCAGCTGAAGGAACTAGCTCTGTTCCCAAAGATGACAACATCCCTTCCTTACTCACCCAGTGGCGCTAGACTAACCTCTCCCATCCTCCATTTGCTGAAGCCTAAGGTGAAATGGCTTTGAATGGCCATTCATTCGTTCGTTCCTTCAACCAATAAATATTTATTGAGTCTTTTCTCTGTGCTGGGCCTTGTGCAGGGCCAGCAGGGCCAAGACAGGCCTGGTTCTAACCTTAGGATGCTTCCAGTCCAGTAAACAAACAAACCAGGAGATTTGCTGGTGGGGACAAGTGTTATAAAAACATAAAGTGTAGGATGGGGTGGGGTCAGGGAGCTCTCTGGGCAGGGTGGTCACAGAAGGCGGCATCTGAGCTGGGACCCAAGTGAGGCAAGGAGGCCATCATCGCTGGAGACAGCATACCATACACCCCCATGTCCAATGCCCCTCTAAGAACATTCTCTGATATCCTCATTGCCAATATCCAGGTTTGCCTGGGGGCATCAAGGAATTCAGGGCCAAGACCTCATGAGAGAGAGAAGGAAGATTGTACTCTTGAAATCTTTTTCAGATCATCCCCTTCAATGCTGGAAGTGGTTCTGGATAGCAGCTAGTTTTACTGTCCTCCCTTCTGTCCCCAGCCCAAACCTGGCCAATCACCAGACTTCATTCTCCTGGCTGCAGTGATTGGTTCAACAGGAGGACATGTGACTCAAGCAGTGCCAATCAGAGTCTTTCCCTGGGATTTTACAGAGACTCCAGGCTGGGGTAACAAGAGCTTTCTTTTTGTCAATCTGATGATGATGATGATGATGATGAGATCTGAAATTTATTAAACACTTACTATATAGTAAGTACTTCCCAAGCATCACTGCATTGACCAAGCACAATAGCTCCAGGATGTACAAAGGATGATCATTCTTATCTTGCAGAGGCAAACACAGAATCAGAGAAGTAAAGCCACTAGTTCATGGTCTCACAACTATAAAGACAGAAAGCCAAGATCCAATGTGCTTAGCAATCAATGTGGCCAATCACAAGAATTCACTTAGGCCTCTTAGATAGATAATAACCAGGAATGTGTCGTTTCCCATGTGACACTTGAAGCAATCCTAATGATTATAAAGGGAGTGAATAGCATTGTTCTTTTCTGTCCTCCCAAGGCTCGAGTGAAAGGCTCTGCAGGTGAGCATTAGTTGGGTCTTAAGAACCTATTCTGTGTGGAGCTCCTGGTAGGGGTGATCTAGGGTCTGTCTTGTTCTTGCACCCAGACCCAGCCCACTGGCCAGTGCCTGGCACATAGTAGGCCCTCAGCAGACATTGGTTGAGTGAAGGCTGTTAGCCATTCTGTGGCTCAAAGCCTCACCCAGGGCATGAATGGCAACCTGAGCTACTAGGAGACGTGGTCCCCAGATCTGGGTCAGGACCCGGTGGGACTATGCAATCTGATCTAAAAGGAAGTTGATGGTGCGGATTGGTCTCTTTCAGCATCCTTCATACTGGTGTCTGGGGAGACGTCCCTTTGAGGCTCCTATTGTTCACTTCCAGATAACTTCATATGAAATGGGTTTTAAAGGAAAGCGGAGGTGGGGCGCTCTATGAGACCCAGAAGGCTAAGTTGGGAATATCTGCTTTTTCAGAGATTTGCTGGCACTGTGATTATTGAGGACCTGCACACCTGCCTGGTCTTTTAAAGCTGGTCAATATGCAGGCAGGTGCCCTGCTCCCAGCTCTGGGTTGTCCGTCCAATCACAGGAGACGCTTAAGAGCTGCATTCAGATAGGAATCTGGGAGACTGTCAGGGGGCGCTATCCGCAGTCAGGCCCCCGTCCTTGAGTTTATTTCCTGTGACTGCCAGGGCGGGCAGAGCGGAGGACGAGCTCCTGAAATGTTTTCCGTCCCGTGACACTGCTGGCTGTGGAGGTGAGATCCTGGGCTCCTGGGTACAGACAGGGTTTCCCAGGCTCACCGGGAGGCTGCAGGTCTTGAGGGATGAGAGGGCACTGAAGCTTCCACGAAGGAAGGGAAGCTCAATGTTGAAGACCCCAGAGCCCTATCGACAACTATGAGAGCCCCGGACATCCTGTGATTGTCTCGGGCTTGTCCTAGCTGGGGAGCCTTCGAGCGTGTGAACGCCTACCTGGCAGCCTGATGAGCTCAGGAACTGACAGTAACCACGTGGGATGTTCTGAGCATAAAAATGCCTATGGGAGCGGCGATACTGGGAAATCACGTCCTGGCGATGGAGTTATCTGTACCTTGAGCAAGCTCTGTCCATTGCTCTTGTGTGTCTAGGACAGTGATGGCGAACTTATGACACTCATTTTTTGGTTGATTTTTCTTTGTTAAATGGCATTTAAATATATAAAATAAATATCAAAAATATAAATCTTCGTTTTACTATGGTTGCAAATATCAAAAAATTTCTATATGTGACACGGCGCCAGAGTTAAGTTAGGGTTTTTCAAAATGCTGACACGCCTAGCTCAAAAGGTTCGCCATCACTGGCCTAGGATAACATACTTCAAACGCACCCCAATCTCTCCTCCACGGCCCCAGGGACAATCACCAGTGCAGGCGAGACGACCCAACATCCTCACTGTCATCTTTCCCAGCAGACCTCTGTTGCCTCTCCAGTGCCCACCGACGTAAGAGAAACGTGTCTTTCTCCATTATAAGTTTTACCTAATCCTTTTCATCCAACCCTTGCTTTGCTTTCTCCCACCCCCTTAATCTACCACCAATGGATTTCATGTACCTTTGATTCTAGTGTATAAAAATAAATGACAAAACTGCTATTCCTTGGAGCATTTTATTAGTCCTTTGAGATTTTGCTTACAGGTCTGGCCCTCAGCTCTGGCTCAAATATTGGTCTGCAATTTCTTTTGTTGACAAAAGGTCTGTATTCAGGTTGCTGGGGCCTGTGTTCAGGTGGCTGGGGCCTGTAGAATGGCCTGTGAAGCAGACTGGAGGTCTGAGGACCCGTTGGGAGGTTGTTAGTGATTCCTAGGGAAGTGCTGATGAGTCTTGGGCCAGAGAATTGGCATTTGGGGTGGTGGTGGGGGGGAGAGTTAGAAATGATGGGATATGGGAGAAATTGGGAGGTTGGATTAACCAGACTTTACTGAAAGTGTTAGATATTCAGCTCAAATCTCAGATAAAAAAGGGAATTGTTAAGCTCCTATATTTGAAGAGTTTGGAGGTGTCAGCTAAGGCTGTAGCCAGGAGTTTGAGCAACGCCATCCTGACTGGCGTCCTCCACCCCTTGGCTCTGTGCAGGTCCCTGCTGGCCTATCTGAGGCAGGTTCTCTCTGGGGGTGGCCACCAGCAGCTCCAGGCTGCAGGCTGGGAGGTGGGTCCCACTTTCCCCATCGCTCCTGCACGAGCCTCCGGATTCTCTCTGACTGGACTGCCGGGTTGTGTGCCCATCTCTGGTGGGATTACCATGCAACGCAGATGGCATGAGCTGATTGACAGGCTGGGGCCGTGTGTCCACTCTAACACCTGGTTGGCTCCTGGATGCACAGTCAAGGAAACCTGGCAAGTGTCCCCTGCCAAGGTGTGGGGCCAGTGGACGTGGGGGAGGAAACAGACATCACACGTGACAGCATCTTGCTGAGGTGTGGCCAGCGGCTGGGGCGGGGCCGGGGGCCATGAATTGAACCTGCGGACAAGGCGTGGCGGAGCGGCTACCACGGCAACGACATTTGGACCAAATTAAACCAAAATAACCCTCTGGCTCTGCCCGACGCAATGGTCTGCTGGTCTGGCCTTCGCTTGCCTGTAACTCCACTCTCGTTTCCACTTTATCTCTTACTTGAGATCTTGTCACGCTGCTCCCCGCTCATTGCTCCTCATTCAGGGGAAAGGGAGGAAGCAGCGCAATCTCGCCTTTCATCTCCCGGGACAATCGGCTTGTCACACCGATAACCGATAACCGGGATGGGTTTTACAGGAAACAATTTTTTTTGGTCCAAGACAGAAAACGTCTTGCTGGTGAGTCAGTTGTGGGGTGATTGTGGAAGCCCGGGTTCAAGGATGCTGTTAGGTGTGTCGGGGCGGCTCTAGCCATGTGGTTAAATTGTGAGGCTCCCTGCCTGCCCAGTTTGGGGGGCTCCATCCACCTCTGGCTCTTTTCTGGGTCTCCTACCGAAACTGGATCTCCCCGTGCTCGTGTTCCTCGCCCTTCAAGACTGCCCTTGAGTCCTTCGGATCACAGGGTGTCCCATTGTCCTGGAGGCCCCTCTGCTTGTGGCGGGTCCCTGTCTCTCAGCGTGTGCCCATGGTCTCCTCTCCAGTGAAAGGCATGGGGCCAGAGGACCCCTGGACTCTGCTGTGTCTGGACTCTGGTCTCTAATAACAGCCACTCACACGCAGGAGCCCGGGTAGGAGCCCTTCCGCTGAGCCAGGCTGGGTTACGCATCTGCACATGGGATCTGGTGGAACAGACTTGGCTTTCTTCCTCTTTCCTTAGAACCTAACTCTGCTGTCTCTTCCTCCAGGAAGACCGCCCAGGCCAGATGCCCGTCCCACCTTCTGTGGCATCACATCCCTTCTCTCATCGTGTGCTTTCCAAGTGAATTCTCAAAGTTGAGTTTTGCTCCCCACTGACCTCTCAGAGTCCAGGACAGTGATGGTGTTCAGTTGGCGCTCAGTAACTATTCGTTCAGTGGATCAGCGAACCAGGGCGAGAGGATGTCAGTTCTTGGTGCACACTCATGCCCAGCGGCTCCAAAGACCAGCGGGGCTATCAGTGGGCGTGGAAGAGGCACACGGCAGGAGCAGAGCAACACTGTCCATGCACAGCGCTCCTCCTCCCTCCTGTGGGGTTTCACGCTCCCAGAGGGGAGAGCTGCAGGCCCGGGCGGTGCACACCCTCACTGGGCCCTCCCACACCCGCCGAGCCGTGCGGCTCAGCCTTGCACACTACCTTGCACACTACCCCCAACTTGAGTTCCTTGGCTCCTGTGGTTCTGTCATTTCAAAGAAGTTTTTTTTTTTTTTTTCTGTGGGTTATTTTATACAGAGCAGATTTTCAAATCAAAGAGAGAGAACATTTTTCCTCCCTTCTTTTTCCCGTGAAAGGCAGGGGGTCTAAGACATTTTAATAGCTTTCATATTTCTCGCTCCAAATATATTATTTCAGCACAATAGTTTCTTTGCGGGAGAATTGCTTAAATGATTCAAAATGGATTTAAAAATATATTTCAAGTTTTAATTTTATGCACAGAACATTAATGAGCGGAGTGCCTTAGAGACTGCCTGTCACTTTAACATATTCACAATATTCTCAACACAGATGTTATTCCATCCAAATCCATTTAGAGGGAAGAAACCAGCACATTTTTTCTTGGGCGATGTCAAAAAATATATTATTCTTGAAGTTGTATTTTGATCCCAGAATTCTGTGCAAAATACCATGGAGAGGGGGGCGGGGCTTGTCAAGTCCCTTGGACACCAAACTTTTTGAAAATCAAGAAAGGAGAAGCGGCCCAGATCTTTCGATTTAGTTCACATTTTTGTGTCCTCTCATGAGGACTTTGAGCTGCGACAAACGAAAGGGGAGAAGATGGCGACTTCACTGAGCTGAGCGGTTGACGGGTTTTCAACATCGTTCTATCAACAACCAGGGGGTGAACAGATATTAGATTTGAGGCAAAAAAAAAAAATGTAGAAAGAGCAACTCTCACTGGTTTTATTCTCACCCAAGGATATTTTGATATTTTTATTGATTTGAGAAAGAGAAAGAGAGAGAAGGGGGGGGAGAGAGAGAGAGAGAGAGAGAGCGAGCTCTGTCGCAGGTTCTCTGCAGCCAGAGCTGCTTCTTATTCCAGCCTTTCCCACTTACTCCTGCCCCTTCCCACGCGGTTCCAGCCGGATGTCCGCTCGCAGGAGGGTGGTGGGAAGTGCTCCCTTCACAGTCCCAGCCCTGCAGTGTGCTCCTTATCTGAAGGGGCCTTGGGGCCAGACTTGGGCTCCGGGAGCCGGGGCTCCATCCTGCCATCCCCCTGGTTTCCCTATGCAGGGAAGTCAAGTTCCCAGGGGACCAGGGCCCGCATCCACGTGGCCTCAGCCACTTTCTGTTGAGGGTGCTGCCATATCTTAGTTCTTGGAATATAAGAAAGACGTTAAAAGGTCCCTTCCCCTTTTTAATAAAAAAATGAATTTTATTTTGAAAAGTAGTTAGGCATTACATAAAAATCCGGCCTCAGAGGTCATAGAGAAGGATAAACACCCCAGGAAAGCTAGGGAACTGTGACAAAGGAGGCGGGTGCTGGGCTGTGCCCCTCCGGACGCAGCCTGTGCTCTAAAGACCTGTAAACCAGCTGATGTCGGGGAGACGCATCAGGCGCCCTGATTCTCTGGAGGCGTCTGCAGGAAAAGTCACGGTGATGGTCAGTGCAGGGGGGACCCTGGACAAGTAGGGGGAGGTGAAAATGGGACCCCTCGCCCACCATATGCAGAAGTCAATTCTAGAAGGATTAAAGGCTTACAAGCAATAAAATAACAGTAATAGTATTGCAAGAAATTTATGATACTCTATATATATAGTCTAGGCCAGGGGTGGGCAACCTTTTTGTGAGTGCGTGCCAAAACCAGCAAAATCTCTGACTCAAAATTCTTCTGCGTGCCAACCCTAATTTTTTGAGAACATGTTACACCTACTTGATATCTCTTAAGGTGTACGTATGTGAAGAACCTTGAAGAAATAATAAAATTCATTCGAGCGACAAAAACACAGTATATGATGATGAAAAATACATTCATTTTTTAATGTATACATGTTATGTAAAATTATTTATTTATCTAAGATGCACCTACACTGAATTTATCTGAAAAATAAAAAAGTTGATATTAAGAAAAAAATTGTAAATGGAAGATTATAAGAGAGGGTTTCGAGTGCCAGCAAAAGTTACTGGCATGCCATGTTTGGCACGCGTGCCAGGGGTTGCCCACCCCTGGTCTAGGGGCTGGGAGACCTTCCCAACCAAGACTGGAAACCCAGAAGCAATAACTAAAAAGATAGATTTTTTTAAAATTATGTTTTTATTGATTTTAGAGAGAGAAGAAGGGAGGGGGGAAGAGGGAGGGAGAGAGAGAGAAACATCGATTGACTGACACCCATACACACCCCAACTGGGGATCAAACCTGAAACCTGGGTGTGTGCCCTGACCAGGAATTGAACTGGCAATCTTTCAGTGCACGGGATGATGCTCAACCAATTTTTGACTCTAGGAAATTAAAACGTTTTGCATGCCAAAGATAATACACACACAATCAATATGGGGGGGGGGATATTTGTAACCAAGATGTCGGACAAAGGACTAACTTCTATGCAACACAAACATTCAAATAATCCAGATGTGTTTAAAGTAAAAAGTGAATGTCTTTCCCCTGCCCCAAGCCCCTTCCCTAGGGGGGATCACTTTTAACGGTTTGGCGCATTTCTTTCTGGACGCTCTTTCTTCTCCATCACATCGCAAAAGAAATTAATTTCCATTTTCTGTTGAACCACAGTGATGGGAAGCTGAGCTGGATTTTATTTTTATTGACTGTGCTCTTTCCCAAGCCTGTCATTTGCATCCCACCTACCCTATCTCTGCTAAATGTATACGCTTTTAAACATACGCATTTATTTAAAAAGGAAACTTTAAATCATTACCACAAATGTAAAGCCAGCAGTATCTGCCATATGCAAAAGGCGGTTATAAAAGTCACAAAAGCCGATGGAATTGAATGCCAGTTGGATACTGTAGCTGCCCCTCTCCGAATTAAAAAGGGAGGTGGCAGAATGGGGACTAGTCTCTGGCTGGCCCCTCACAGAGACTCGCCAGGCGGGGCGGGGCCAGAGGGAATGACTACAGAGGAATAAAGTGCCTGTGAGCTGTGAGGCACCACCTGGCCGCTCCAAGCTCACCCTGTGGCCTTCCTTCCCTTTGACAGTGTCCCCTCCACGGACTGCTGGTCCCTGGCCCCTGATGGGGAGAAGGCAGTGCTCCTTGAAGTCAGCACAGTCTGCAGTTGAGTCTCTGGTCTTCCAAACACCGCGTTTATCTTAAATGACCGTGTCCTCCCAGGAGGCTCAGGGGGAGGGGAACGTGCCTCGACGGCCCACCGCTTTTTCCCAAACCCCGTGCAGTTTTTCTAAGGCTTGAACTTGTCAGCGCAGTACTCTGAGACGCACTGAGATACTCGGAGGGGTTGGGTGGTAGCCAAGGACAACTAAACACGCTTGCCTTTTTTTTTTAAATACAGGAAAGAGGAGTAATTTGGTGACATTTTCAGAGGGGCTGCCAGCCACAGCTGGGAAAGACTTTGTTTCTGCGAGTCAGAAGAGAGCAGAGCATCTGATGTTGAGATTTTTTTGGTTCCATCCTCTTTTCACCTCGTACTTTTCTTCCAGACACGGAAAGGCTAGTCTTTTTGACAAGCTGATGGAGAAGGCAGCACCTCGGTGACCAGGAGAAACTGGAAGCGCTGTCTGATGGCAGGGAGTCCAGATACTCAGTTTTAGGACGAGCTTTTGGAGGCAATCTGGCGGAAAGCTGCCCTTCCGGGCGTCCTGTGCGGACTCGGGCTGGTGCTGGGACCAGGGCGCGCTGTGAGCGGAGGCAGCGGCGAGCCCACCGTGGCCGTGGTGGGGAAGGAGCAGATTGTGTTACCAACAGGAACTTTCCAAAAGCAGCGCTTCCTCTTGGTCTTCCATGTGCTCCCCAAGAACCCGGAGAGAGGGCAGTGTTTCCGGGCCCAGCCCTGCGGTGTTCTTCACACCCTGTGATCACTCGTTTCTGTGTCACTATTTGTTAACATCTGTGTCCCCAGCTGCTCTCCATAAAGGCCGCTCGT